TCTATATTTGACCTATAACTTTGCAAAACACCATAAAACCTGTTAATGGGGGGTACGGTTGTACTCGTGAGACATCGCTGATTACAAATATGTGCATTTGTTAGCAGTAAAACCTAACAGTATTATGACATTCACAGCTAAAATGTCAGACGGAAATACAAATTTAAAAAACAATCTTATTTTCTCACATTTTTTTTTAAATTTTATTCATAATAAATTATGTTTCATATATGAATAGTTAATGATAAATTAAAGCCCTGTTTCTCCTGAACAAAATTATATATAATAAGTGTGGGTGCACTTAATGTGACAGCGGTGAATTACGGTTGAACAGACATATAGCGCAAATTCCAGTTTTTGTTTACATTTTGTTTTGATCAGAACGTGCACTATTGACTCTGTCCTGAAGGGGTTAATAATAATGATATTAATAATAATAATAATATGCATGAGTGTGTGTATGAATTTTAATGAGTGACTATGAATGTGAACATTTGCTGGAAGCTTCTGTGCATCACTGAACTGAATATGAAGATTGCATGGGTTACCAAATATTACTCACTGCTATCCATAAAAAGACAACAAATTACATGCAGTTCGAAAAGGGTATCCTAGCTGAGCACCCCATGCCAATTTATATAAATGACACTCTCTCCGATGATTGGGCAGACAACAGCCACTGATGATTGGCTAGTGGGTTTGCACATTCAACCTGATCTGCTGTAAAAATTGCAGTTGTTTGCATATACTTTTGTTCTTTTTACATGATTCTAGTGACCTAACCCTTCTACCCATTTCCTTCTTTAGTATGTACTAGCACTTTGCTGTCATAATGTTAACATGGTGGGAGACTAGTTTGGGTAGCAGTGTGACCGGACTTTCCTGTGATGCAGGCATTTTCATATTTTAATACTGGTCTGTACTGATGATGCCTTCCTTAATAAGGATGTACAAGGGTGTGAGTTAAGGGGAAGGCAATTCAATTCAGGGTCATGCAGCTTTGCCTCATAATTTCAAACATGTGCCATCTTGTTGCATTTTCAACATCTTTAAGCCTCCCAATTATATACTATCTTATATCCAGAATATGTCATCTTGGAACCTGCTTTGGGTAATTTATTTATTTATTTTTCCCCTCAGTTGGTATGTTTTTCTCCAACAAATTGACTTTCATGAAAAAGTTGTCAATGTTGAATGATGCATTAACTTCAGTGACAATAGACATATTGAGGCAGATTGTAGATTGTTTCGCTTGCATTGGGCCTGAGGAAAGTAATGATCAGATGTGTTAATGATAATAAATGTTGTTGGTTTTTAAATAATAGATACCCCTTCCATTTTCAGGGAGACTCTATGATTGACCAATCTCAGGTCAAGCCTTTCAAACTCTAGTTGCTTGTCATTTTTCTCAGCCACTTCTACCCTTTTAGCATATTGCATTTTAGAATTATTTAACTGCAGAGTACTGAATCCGCTTGATGACTTGAGACTGCAGGACCAGAGACATTATAGATTTCTTGGAATCATAACCATATGTAGACACTGTAGTTTGCAACTGATCGGTTATTTAGATATTATTCTAGAGGAAGTCTACTATGCACAACATCTAAGAGTCTTATTTTAATCTGGTAATCATTTTATCTATGCTTTGAGTACAGAAAATCTAGCAACTTTATAAATTATAATTTTTTCAAAAATATGATACTCATAGCAGTCATGTTAATCTAGCAATTCAGATGCCAAAATAAAAATAATATTACAGTGTGCACTTGTGCATTTTATTGAACTAACAAAAGTTATCTAAATAAATTATTTCTATGGATTCTGTTCTACCTCAGCAAAACTGATAAAATGTGAACAAAAATCCTGTTTTTTAATATACATCGGTCTACCAAAAGAAAAAGCAAAAACAAAAAAGGTATACAATAACTGCTTCATATCTGCAGTACACAAACACACAGCACAGAATAAAATCACTCTAGGGTTCCACAAATAATATTTCAGTTTTGTAATGAAACTTTTTGTATGATCTGTACGAAAAAAAAGGTTTTATTACAAAGCTCAACATTGATGGAAAAAAAGGGCATTGTTTAAACTAAGACGACCCTGGAGTGTAATTTGTCTGCTCTGTATGATATTTCCGAACAGAATACTGGACAATTTAAGGTGAGAAACCTTGCACTCTCTGTTAGCTTTTATTGGTTATTCGAGCTAAAAACAATGAGTTAATCAAAATATAGTATCAATTTCAGATATCTTTTATTTTATTGCTTCTTGTTGGTTTTTTGTGTGCCTGTTACATAGCACTACAAGGCAAAACAGCATTTATAATTGTTATGTATTTTTAGTTATTGAATTATACCATTAAAATTAAAACCATTTAAATTTCCCACTTCATTAACAAAATCAAGTATTAACTTTTTAACATTTTTATATACTTTGCAGAATAAAATGTTGTTGATATAGGCTCACTCACACTCATTCATACTCTAGAAATGATTACAAGTTTGTAGATGAATAAATTACTCTGCCGGAAGCTAGTGATTCACTGGCTGCAATTGTTAAAATTTTAGCTCACCCCCTGCTTTCTAACTGTTAAAGAAGCTTCAATGGTTCATATCATTCCTACAGTCAGAGAGGGAAAGGAGTGAATGGACAGAGAGAGCAATGAGTGACTGTTTCCCTGTTAACATTACATTAGCAGTCCAGAGTGTGATAAAATGTACATATTTTTATCACATGTACTGTATGTTACAAAGATTGCATTTTTTTTCTTATATACTAACATTTCAGACCCTATGTGAATTATTACTAGATAAAGAACATTGTAGCCTGTCTATAACTTTCCATTTCACAAATATTCTATCAAAAGATTAATAAATAAGTGATTTTTTTTTTATATTTACATAATTGTAAGTTTGTCTACAAATGTGATTTATGCACATTCTATGTTTATATGATAGCTATGCATTCCCTTCCTCGATTAAATGTTATTCTAATATTTTTCAACCAAAAAACACTTGGTAGTGAAGGTGTTAAGTGGATAAGTCACATTTATACCGTCCTCGATTTGTAAAAATTTTTTGGCAGTTTATGTGTTCTTCTCATGGGCCAACCTTATTTATTTGACATTCCTGTGGTTTGTCTTTATTATTTCTACTAAAAATATTTATCAGAACCTGTATAATAATTTACATTGCCTTGGGCTAATGAAGAAGATATTTTCTATATGTTATTATGTGACCTGTATATTTGTCATTGCCCTATTCTAAGAATAAATTCAATCCAGGTTCTACTTAATAATCTTTCATTTAATAGTTGCTAGGTTTATCCTTACTAAACATTACCTCATTTCTCACTTCTATACTTCTAGGATTATTAATAAGAAAATAATTTATAATGAGCTAAATGGGGGTCATTTTTCAATACGTTATATATATATATATATAGTTAAATGTATTACTCATATCGTATGTCAAGCTTAGACCAGAAATAAGCAAATAAAATTTTCACATAGCAAGAATTGGCTAGCTTTTAAAGTAGTAAAAGGAAGCTAAAACATTTTCTAAAAATCATTTAATTATATACCCTGAAAATTAAAATTGCCCCATTAGATTAAAATATATAGGGTTTTTTTTATTCCTTCATTCAGTGTCTTAGAATGACATTACTAAAAAAAAATGTTCAATGAGTACCGTTTAGTGTCTTTAGTCTAATAAATATATATTATACTGCTGCCAGCATTCCATTCAGTTAAACCTGTCAAATGTTTTTTTTTTTTTTTTAAAGGGACACTCCAGGCACCCAGACCACTTCTGCCCATTTGGGTGGTCTGGGTGCCAACTCCCACTACCCTTAACCCTGCAAGTGTAATTATTGCAGGGTTAACTCCACCCAGATTTCCACGCTGTGTGAGGACCTCCAGCGTCGCTCAATACCCCATAGGAAAGCATTGAAAAGCATTTTCAATGCTTTCCTATGGAGACTGTAATGCGCATGCGCGGCAATGCCAGGCGGGATGAGTCTCGCCCATTGGCCGACGTAATGAAGAGGAGAAGTGGCGGCGACCCGAAACCACCACCAAGGGACATTGGCGGGGGTGTCAGGTAAGTGACTGAAGGGGTTTTCACCCCCTCAGCAGCCGAAGATTAGGAGGTACCAGAGAGAGGGGACCTGCAGTGCCAGGAAAACAGATTGTTTTCCTAGCACTGGAGAGTCCCTTTAAGAGCAAAATGCTAGAACTGCAGTGGCATCAGGGCTCGAGTCCTGCAGGAACGCATGGGAACGGCGTTCCTGCACTTTTTCCATAGCAGGAACGCCGTTCCCGTTACCTGTCCTGCAGGACCGGCCCTGCTACCTGCACTGAGGGGCCAGCACACGCTGTGTTCCCTCTCCAGCTATAACTCTCGCGAGACCCGCGGCTGTTACCATGGCAACGCTCCGCACAGGCGAGTCTCGCGAGAGTTAGAGCTGGAGAGGGAGCACAGCGTGTGATGGCCCCTCTGTGCAGCGGCTGCCTCCCTCCAGCAGACCACCAGGCGATCTCCCCCCTCCCTGACAAGGTAAGAAGCAGGGAGGGGGGAATAAAATAAAATAAAAATATAGACACATAAAGTTAAAAAAAATGCTCCCCCCCCACATCATCCTTCACTCACACACCCATCATCCAGCACACACACACCCATCATCCAGCACTCACACACCCATCATCCAGCACACACACACCCATCATCCAGCACACACACACACCCATCATCCATCACTCACACACCCATCATCCAGCACACACACACCCATCATCCAGCACACACACACCCATCATCCAGCACACACAGCCATCATCCAGCACACACACCCCATCATCCAGCACACACACACACACACATCCATCCAGCACTCACACACACATCATTAGCACTCACACGCACATCCAGCACTCCACACACATCATTCAGCACTCACACACACACATCATCCAGCACACACACACATCATCAGCACTCCACGCAAACACCCATCATCCAGCACACATCATCCAGCACTGCACACACAAAAACACCCATCATCCAGCACACACACATCATCAGCCATCCAGCACTCACACACACATCATCCAGCACACACACACACACACACACACATCATCCAGCACACACGCACATCATCCAGCACTCACACGCACATCATCCAGCACACGCACGCACATCATCCACCACACACACACATCATCCAGCACTCACACACATCATCCAGCACGCACTCACACACACATCATCCAGCACTCACACACACATCATCCAGCACTCACACACACATCATCCAGCACTCACACAATCATCCAGCACACACACACAATCATCCAGCACACACACACATCATCCAGCACTCACACACACATCATCCAGCACTCACACACACATCATTCAGCACTCACACACACATCATCCAGCACACACACACACCATCCAGCACTCACACACACATAATCCAGCACACACACACACACACATCATCCAGCACTCCACACACATCATCCAGCACACACACACACACACATCATCCAGCACTCACTCACATACCCATCATCCAGCACTCACACACACACCCATCATCCAGCACTCACTCACACACCCATCATCCAGCACTCACTCACACACCCATCATCCAGCACTCACTCACACACCCATCATCCAGCACACACACACACACACATTATCCAGCACTCACTCACACATCATCCAGCACTCACACACACATCATCCAGCACACACACACACATCCAGCATAGCACACACACATCATCCAGCACACACACACATCATCAGCACTCACACACCACGTCCATCCAGCCTTTTACACGCACACGCATTCATTATACACACTCTTCACTCACTACAAACACACTACATTCACTATACACCCTCTGCATTCACTATACACACTCTGCATTTATTATGCACATTCTGCACTCACTACACACTACATTCACTATACACACTCTGCATTCACTACAAACACACTACATACACTGCATTCATTGTACACACTCTGCACTCACTAAAAACACACTGCATTCATTATACACATTCTGCATTCACTACAAACACACTACATTCATTATACACACCCTGCACTGCACTATATGGAGTGGGTGAGTTCCCACACTTTTTTCCCCAGGACTTGACCCCTGAGTGGCATGACTCCTAAAATTTGAATGAAAAAAAAAGTAGCAGTTGCTTCCTTCATGATGCCTAATGCTGACTTTGTTGCTAGGGTGCCAGCATCTTAATAGAGTGATGTGAGGTCAATCTGTTCTAGTTCTCCCTAGCCAGCACTAGCAGTATTGGCTAGAGTGTTGCCATAGCAACCATAGTGTATGTGCTGTGGTTGCTATGGGAGGAGAGTTTGGATGTACCTCCTGTGGTAGGTCTCTTCTGCTCTCCCTGTTTCTCAATACTTTAGGTCCTCGTTGTTGAAAGTCTGCCTAGGATTTGAGTCACATGGGAGAAAAAAACTATTTTTAAATAGTTTTTTTCTTCAAATCTTTACATTTTGCTAGCAAAACTTTTAACACAAAGTATAGATGGAATTTCACGCTCTATAGAAGTTCAAGAGCTTTAGTCATTATAGCAATGACAGTTTCCCTTTAATTGCACATTATCTATGAATTTGTATGAGTATTAAATAAAATGTTACATATTTAAGCAGAAAGCTCTACTGAGGCTTTTGCTGCCTTGGGATAACTGTGTCCATTGTGGAAGCTATGTAAAGTGAGATAAATGGCCTCTTAAATTAATACCAAAAGGCATATGCTGGGTATTAAAGAGATTACATAGATAATATAAACTTCATACTGAGAAGAACATAATTAAAATGCAATGTCACACATTTTAATAATATATTTCATGACAGGCGCACAGTCGGATTTGCCGGCATATGCGCTAACCTTACCCAAACCCCCATTAAAACACGGACACAGGTTATACTGTTGGAAATAATTTGTCCACAGCTTTATTAAATTATTAATAAATAATTAAGGAATAACAAATGGGGTCATTGCCAACAAATCTTAATAATGTTAACCTCCCCCATATACATAACATACCCCTAGCAATGACCCCACAATAATAACAATAGATAACAATCTAAATAACATGTTAACACAGAAACTGGCCGCCCAATTTGACCACATTTCCACCAGGTTAAATTGTAGGGGTGTACCGAGACACCGCTACCCACCA